TCTAAACGAGCCCTGGAGAGCTATCAACTCCAGTGACACACATGTATAGATATAACTGCAAGAACAACTAACGCGCAACAGTACTACTAACAATATGCAGAACAAAAAGAGAAAAGAAAAAGAAAAAAGCCCCCAAGGTTCGAATTATCAAAATGGGCAAAAGTTCTTCATCCGGATTGTAACGCCAATTGATATGTGTCCAGGAGGGGGGGATGTTGGTCTCGTTACTTTATTCCATTGTCTTCTCCGTTCCCCCCATTTTCGCTTTCGGTTTTTTTCATTTTTTTTTTATCTCCTCTTCTTTGGTTTCATGGAAATGGTTTCATTCTCTCTATCCTATCTGAGAAGGCAGCCGTTATTTATAATACTCCCTTTTCTTGTGTGAAGTCCCAGAGCATTCTTATCAAAGCGTCGGGGAGGGTATATAAGTCAACGTGGAATTCTCCCTCTATTAAAGAGTCAGCTCAGGTAAACCAGTAGGTAGGATGACTAGATGGGGGAAACGCTTACGTTCAATATCGTTTTTCGTATACGAGTCCGAGGACTTGTTGTCATGCACCATCTGCACAACCTGGAGCAAGTCGTCTTCTCCCAGCTTCTGTAGGCCATCTGCTAGCTTCTCCATATCGACCTAAAGTCAAGGGTTAACACGTCACTCTGCCTCTTAACGTGTTAGAGAATAAGATAGCTTACGTTCTTGTCCACTCGTTTCTTCTTCTTGGACTCTTCCTGACCCCTCTTCTTCACTCCGTTCTCATCACCAGGTACAGGGCCAGACTCACGCAGCTGAGCCAGGAGCGCAGGTTTAGGGTTTTTAAATGCCTAGGTCAAAGTTAGAGCTAAAGCATATATGTGACATGTAATGCGAGAATGGATACGTACAATGACATGTTTTGACTCGTACTTGCTCGACTGGAAGTTCAAGTCATGCGTAATGGTGTGGTCCTTATCTGGCGCACTCAGGGTAATCTGCATATCGAACTCACCCCATCCTTCCTCTTCGATTCTGAACGGAGGCGATTTTATAACTGATATAGTCAGCACCCGGCTCCCGCAGTGCCAATGCCATGGGAAACAGTAGTATAACGTAACGTACTCTGCGTAGCTCTTGCTTCGAAACTGGGATGTAGATGATATGTTACTTTCGGGAATACCGACGCAGGAACGGACTCTCCATGGTCGTTCAGCAGGTGTATCTCGACCGACCACTGACGGAGCGGGAATCCCTCGATACCGGAATTTGGGTCCCTATTTTACCATAAACATACCCTGGTTAGCCTATGAGTTTGTTGCAGTGGCCAAAAAATAATAATAACGGGTATATGCTTGAGCTGCTTCCCGCAGGCGAGTCCTCCGGCGCATTGCCCATGTAGCTATCAAGCAGATGTAGCAACGTCCACCACCCAAGCTATACCGCACGGGTATCAACAAGCATCATGCGCCGGATAAGCCTTATCTCATCCGCCCAGCTCGTGAAACCACCCGCCATGCAACGAGGAGATCGCAAGACACAACAAAGGGATATAAGGAGGGTACGAACGATATACGCGACTCCGTAACGATCTTAATAGTGCGCTTGACCTACGCCGTTCATAAAACACCCAAGTCAGCTCATCTATCCCACTCCCCGCGCCTAATCCGCAGACGCGACCTGGAACCTGAGCCCCGGACGAAGCAAAGGCAAAAGGCGGCGCTCGCGATTGGCATGGCTTGGTGTCAGCGGCAAGAGACTTACATCCGGCATCTTGGGCTTGCTTTTCTCTGTTCCTCTAGCAGCGTGTCAGAAGTATCCCGGGCCTACTCTGCGTCGCTTATCGAGTTTCAGCTTCGTTCCTGGCAAGCAGAAGGGAAAGATAGCGGTGGGCGGGGGGCTTCGAGGCGGAGGTGAGGACCGGTGGTGATTTTTTTCCCTCCCCTGGCCCTGCTGTCACTGATGGCAGCTAGTGATGAGAACGGCGCACTGGAGCTCGCAGTCGGGTAGGTCAGGCTGTAGGTATCTCTGAACGGTAACTCTCTTCTCTCCCTCTCTCTCGGCTTCCTCGTCCTCTTCTCTTCTCCTTCTGGTGGCTGCTTTTTTCTTTTGTTGTTTGAAAAAGAAGTTTTGTATGAGGTAATCCCGATGTTTTCTTGCTTTTTTGGCCGAACGGAAGGTAATGTTATATAAAAAGGGGGAGGAAGAGAAAGAGAGCGAGACGATGAAGTCGAAGACGTTTACTGGATAGCTACTTAGTTACATGGGGGAGGAAGAGCAGCAGTTAGACTAGGAAGCGCATACATAGTGGTTGATTTTTTTGGTTACGATGGCTATCCTTCCCCTCCCAGTACGGTCATGGCTGCTCTGGATGGTGACAGCAGGGTCAAAGGGAGCGGGCAAGGGGGACTAGCTCATGAGTTCCCTGTGCCCGTGGATCAAGGGCGGGGGACGTCAAGAGAGGGTCTCATCAAGAGTACAATCTCAGGGCATTGCATTTGGAGTATATTGGCTGCATGGATGGGACATTGGAACATTTGGGATTGGGATATGGTGGGCAAGGTAAAAAGGGGGGTTTAAATGGGGGAGGGGGATGTTATTTCTAAATAAGGGTCAGCGACATGGGCAGGGGGGTTCATGCAAAAGATGATAGCATAAGGGCAGTGGCGGCTGCCTGCTAATGAATCATCGGGTGTAATGCAGGAGGGTGATGCATGGCTATATTTCGATTCGATGGCGGATTTGTCATTTTTCTTCTTTTCATTCTTCTTCTTCTTCTGTTCATAGCGTAGCGTTGGCTCACATCTCTCCAATCTCCTTAAATCCAAGGGTATCCTAGTAGCGCACACGGTCGATTTATTCCTTGCCGAAGAGAAGGGCGTTCTCTTCCTGGGCCTTCTCAAAGGCTTCCTTGAAGAGAGCAGCGTCTTGACATTGAAAATTAGTGCCTTATTCCTAGAATAACGTACGAAAGAGATAAAAGGGAGAAAAACTCACTCTCACTGTTGGCAAAGCGGATGGCCAGGGTCTGGGCCTCTGGTTCGCCCTCACTGACATCCGCAGCGGCATTCCACACCCAACTTCGATCGCTGCCAACGTTTGGTGACAGCTTCATGTCAGGAACGACTACAAGATAAGTTGTCAGCATATATCCAGTATAGATTGGAATAACAGGTGAAGCCCTACCGTAGTGGTTGGCGCAGACCTTGAGGGTCTTGTCTCTTCGCATGAGCAATCGAGTCTTGTGGTTCTCCTTGTGCTTCAACAGCTTAACGTCACCGGTTCCACGCTCCTTCCACTCCTTGGACTCCCGGTCAAATCTGAAGAGTTTGGCGCGCATCTTGAAGGTCTGCTCCTCCAGCTCCTCGTTGGTCTTAACCTCGACCTTCTCGGTCAGGCGGATGACTGGCTCGAAATGTACGTCCGCTTCAGCCTCGGGGTCCTTCACAGAATCATTAGTATGGCAACTAACAGCAAAATACCAAACAAAACGAAGATCAACTCACGTCATCACCACCCTCAGTCTTCTTCTTGGAGGAACCAGATGGCTCGTTAGCATCATCTTCCTGCTCCTTTTTCTCCTTTGGAGGACCACCGCCAAACATGGAGAAAACGGAGTCAGTCGTGGCTGGTTTGCTCTCCTCTGTAGCAGCTGGCTTATCTGCCTTGTCACCCTCTGCCTCAACCGTCTTAGCACTCTCGTCGCCTGTCTGTTCGGTCGTGGTGGTTTCTTCCTTCTTGTCCTCAACGGCCTCTGGAGGGGCAGTGGTGGGGTCGGTCTTTTGCTCGTCTGCCATGGTGGGCGGGCTTGGTGCTAGGTAAACAGGTGGTTATATAGATTGATACAAGGATGGACGCTATACTACTATAGCTAAGGAGGAGGCAAATGTAGGAGATGCTTGGATATGTAGATGTTGTTGATGTTGTTGATGTTAAGCAAACGAGAGAAAGAAAAAAAGACGAAGGTGGGCGCTTCGAAAAGGTTCGATTTGGGACTAGCGCAGCTTTCGTTCCTTTTGCCCCTGACAGGCTCGGTCAGGGTCGTTAACTGCCTTAGTTACACAGCAAGCATTAGTTAAAGCGTTAGTTAAGGCATTAAAGGGTTATCTATACATGGTAGATATAGATAGGCTAGATGTTGAGCAGCCACTTAGTTGGCCTGACTCGCTAGTTAGTGGGCTAGATAGCTACCTGATGTAGATAAGACGTGAGATTGACACCCATTAATTAGTTAACTAGTTATATTGATACATTATTTCGTTTCTTTTTAAGAAGCCAGTTCCTCTCTGTGTTTAATGACTACCGGAGAGTATGGAAGACGGCTAATGTCCTTGATTGCATGTCTAACATGATCAAGTGGAAGACGTAGGGCCTCTTCGGAAGTTTCGGAGCCTGGTCTTCAGATCGAAATTAAAGGCGGGAGTTTGCAGATTCCATGCCCTCTCTTGTGCAGCCGACATCATGGAAGATACAGATGTCTTGACCTTTTGCCGGACACGTTTTGCTCTTGCCCTTAACTTTTCAGAGGACAGGCGTAGGGATTTTCTCCCGTTGTTGAGGATACAATCCGAAGCGAGCTTGGATTTGGCTACGGCGTTTCTTGCACGGTTGGCAGCACGGTCAAGAGTCTCGCTGATGTTGGCGTTAGTGTCAGCAGCGGTGTTGTTAGTATTAGCTGTCCATGCACTATACAGGTTCCGAAAGTCGAAGGTTAGTTTGATGTATACCCTTGAGAGTCCAGTCTGGGCATCGGCCAGGTCTTTACGAAGTGCCTGGGACAGAGACTGGGTAGCTTTCTTCCAGCTAGCTATTTTCAGCCAGGGGGTGCCAAAGTCAATACCGGTGACCTTGGTCAATTTTGGCTTTGACAGCGCGGAAACAGTAACGTTCATCGGGCCATAAGCATCCTCGGGGGCAAGTCGAAGGGTGAAGATGCCGTCAAACAGCTTATAGAGGTCAAAGTGGAGGCTATTGTCGTCTCGAGTCACCTTGATATCGAACCTGTTTCCATCCCTCACTGACACTAGGCGGTTTGGCAGCCGGACAATCGCGTGGTGGTCCCCGACGACATGGACCTGGACGTCATCTGATTCATTCATACTCTGGGCTTTGGCGCAGGTTAGCTGCGAGATGAAGTCGTCCATATTCTGTGCGGCACGGGAATGAGACTCGAGGTACTGTACTCCCTCTGGAGAAGTCGAGAGGACCGGAGGTTTCGCACACATGACTGGTGTAGCAACGGGAGTGATAATGGTCTGCACTCTGCCTGTGACCGCACCCACTTGGACCTGGGAGGACAGTCCAAAGATGTAGCCAGCAAATGGGAGCATCAAGATTGTTGCGAGAGCAGACACAATAAGCAGTGCTACTAATACAGGATAGATGCCCGGATGCTCCTCCATGATTAATCTGAGTTTATTTTTGAGGTATTCAGTTGGGGAGTTCTGTTGTTCTTCCATTTTGGGGTCTTCCTTTTGTGGTTCTTCCTCCTTTCTGGGCTCCGCCTGGCGTGGTATAGTATCTGGCTGCGTGTAGGCAGGGCGAGATCGAGACAAACAAGTCAGGGCTGAGATTACCTCATTTTGATGGGTCATCGTCCCGATAGCTTCTATCAAGATATCTGCTTGTCTTTTGGTTAGCCCACCGGAGGATGGCGCATTCTCTGGAGAAGTAGCTGATGGAGCCTCTGCATTCCTCTCTCGGGGCATCTCCTCGTCATAAAGATAGGATTCTTGGGCATCAGGGTGTTCAAAAATATCAGGGTGATCAAAAAGAGCAGACTCTTCACTGAAGGCTTCGTAGTCACCATGTTGCTCTCCAAGGTCAGGTGCTCCTGAGCTTGAAGTCGTCTCCCAACCAGTACTACGAGACGCGAGTAGATTCTTCTTCCTTCGTCTCCACTCTCCTCATGTTCATATATATCTTGGTCGTATTCGTTGTCGATGGAGCCTTGGGTAGAGCCCCAGCCCGAGGGAGTAGCGATACTGCTCTCTTCATCTCCCTCGTACTCATCCTCGTCCTCAACTTCCTCAAAGTCTTCATCATCGGTATTGGTAAGAGGTGGAGTGAGGAGGGATGGTGTCTCGGAGGTGCTGCTCATCGTATCAAAGCTGAGGGCTCGATCTCCCTCGCCAGCTGCCTCGCTGCCTCCATAGGTTGACGCGTCGCTGGCATAGCCACGGTAGCGACGCGAAGGAACATCAAGTCTGTTGAAACCGCTGGGGAAGAGGTCTTCAATAAGCGCCCAGTTGGCTTCGGGGGTGTTGGGGTTTGGTCGTCGTCCAGCGTCTTCTTCCTCCATCGCGGCGGCGGGTACTGACGTCATCGTTTCAACAGTCGAAACGGCGCCGTTATGGAGATGGAGACACTGCAGGCTAGACTAGAATTAGCCAGGAGTTGGAAGAAGATGGTATCAAAGGCGTGTCGAAGCGTGCATGTAGTGATAGAGTAGAGCGGGAGGAAGAGGTGTAAAGTCAGGAGGCAGACGTGCTGACGAGTCAAGGGTGGCTATTTGTACTGGTTGATTGATGGAAATGCGGAGGCGGTCGGCTAGTAAAGAGCGCTGTAACATGTATCAAAGGGCTAGAACAACGCACCCTTTCAGTTATCGAGACACAGACAAAGCTCTTCACTCGCCAGAAAGCTGCTCTTAGGTATGAGAAGCCGTCTTAGTTGTATTTTAAAGTAGGTATAGGTATGTGTTGTGCGGAAGGATGAACTGTCGATGGTAGCAGAGACAGTGAAGGGCCAGGCGGGGGAAGATGTGTGTGTGTGCGTGTGTGCGATGGCAAAGTCGACGCTGAGTTGTGGTTCACCAAAGGCGAGCCACGTCGTCACCGGGTGAGCAGCTGCTGGTGCTCCGGAGACTTCCCTGTCCTGTTTACTACCAGTCAGAAGTGACGGAGCTGGTTGGTATGTAGTTGGTGAAGCGTAGGATACGAAGGTATGTAACTATGGATGCAGGTTGACGACGAAGCCGAAACGCGAGACAGCCCAAAAACAAAAGGACATGAGAAAGGGATTTCGTTAGGCGAGCTCGACGGCGTCAAATAAGCTCGAGAGAAGCCCTAGATGACGTTGGTTGCTGGAGTTCGCCGTCGCAAAGATGGTTCCATGGGATGTTTTTTGGTTGGTGTTGGAAGCTGTAGATGAGATGTAGGTAGATGGACAGACAGGTAGATAGATGCTGTTGAACTACAAAGATACGCTGTCCACGAGAAGACTTGCAAGTCCATGTAGATCAAAGTACTATTTGCATCCAGACTATAACGACTCTATTTACACACAATTTGGCAGACAAGCATTGATAAGCGTAAAGGCATCGGATCTATAGCCACTGGCTGTTTATTAGAAAGTAGTTGAACTAGACACCCATTTTGATGGCTTTCTTCCCCTGACATGTCTTGCTTCCAAACATCTTGAACATCCTTCCAGCATGAAGAAAGGATATGCTCTCTAACTATAACCCATATACGAGCTGTTGATGAACGGGAATTGCCACCTGGTGAAAGAAATACTGTGTATCCGGCCCGGCAAATCTGCGGCATCTCACGCCATGTCAGCAAGATCTTGAATGGCTTTGGAGCTTGGCCTCACTGCTTTAGCTGGATGAACTTGAACATGTAGGTAGCTGTCCTTCAGGTATGTCCTTTGGGTATGAAAGATTCCTGGCCAACGACGTAGTATAAGCCCTATAAGACCGGCAAAGGCTGCTGCGATTCCTTGAACTGGTTCCATTTATTCATGAGCTGCGGATGTATTCTATTACGAAAGTAGGGTAAGTTGGATAAAACAGGGCAGGGACTTTGCATCCCTTGACATGGAAGTAGAGATAAACAGACAGCCGAAGAAGAGCAGCAAGAACAATAAAGGAGCTGTTTAAACAATTTACAAAAAAGGGGGAGACATGCGACATAAGACAGACAGAGAAAAGAAGAATGCAGATTGAAGAAACAAAGAGACAAAATTTAATATAAGAGTTGGGAGTAGAGAAGTTGACAAGAAGATAAGTTGGGAGGGATGGTGATGATGCTTCCCCCCCATCCCCCTTATTAGTCTGTCTGAATGGACATCTGTAACAGGCGGAAAGCGACGATATAGAAAACACACACACAAAAAAAGGTAAGGCATCGAGCCAAAGAACTGTATTAAATGATAATTGTTGGTCAGCAGCCGAAAGCACAGCTGCAAGGCCCTTCTTCTATCTCATGTCAGGGAAAGGCAATGGAAATGGAATAGGTTCAAAGTTTTTCGAGCACTGTAATCCTCCCCCAGATACAGTTACCGGGGATGATACGGGGCGGAACGAGGAAGAAAAAACGGTGACGGAATCCGAAGTTGGCTTGATGATATAAAAAAATTGAAACGGGAAAAGGGGGAGGGTTTAGGGGAGAAGGACAAGTCATGATATATCTTCGTGGCACGGCGCTGCGGACCCGATGGGGGTGGGTGTGTGAGTTTGTGTGCATAAGGGTGTAGCCAATGTCACGCCGGCAGAGAGAAACAAAAAAATAGAGAAAGAGGAAATGAACAAGAGGGCCGTTGCGTAGTGGTTGATGAGATCTACGGCGACGCCCATCCTCCGGCGACTTTAACCCAATCCGCTAGACAACTGCCATGCTTGCCTTCGACGTCGACGATGTCGGTATCACAGCGGCACCGACAGCCAACGCCGTTCTCCTTCGGTGGGTCAGGAGAGTCCCAGTATTCGTCCTCTTCTTGCCGGAGCTTGGGATCCAGAGTGGTCTGTTCAAGGTATGGGTCCCGAACGCGTTGTCTGGCCGGGGCGTTGGCAGGGCAGTGCTGGATGGTGGTGTGACGATATCCAAAATCTCTGAAGTAGTGGATGTCGGCAGGAGATAGAAGTGCGCCAGCAGCAAGAGAGTGAATAGGTGCGTCTCCCCACTAATAATGAACAAAACTTTTGTTAGCAATGTTTCTCATATACGTATCAGACGGTAGGAAAAAGTAACGTACTCTTTCATTCCAGAAACCACCGCTCCGGTCCATCATCTGGAAGAAGTCTTCGTAAGCCTTGCTGCGGAAGAAGTCCAACCGCGCGATTTCAAAGTTACTCCAGAAATGGCACATGTTGTACGTCTCGCCTTCCATCGCCTCAGGATCGACATCCTTGAGTCCAGCGGCACCAGGCTGAGTCTGCAAAATTTCGTCTGGGAGGGCATTGGCCTCTTCTGCCGGTTTCTCCTCCTCGACAGGTTCCTCGAGGAACATTTCCCATAGGCCCTGGGAGGTGATGTTGTTCGTTCGCTTGTATGCAGATGCGTAGCGGAAGATATTCGGGACAGTCTCTTTCAGTTCTTTGACCGCGATTGTGAAGCCATACGTCTTGTTGTTCTTTGCCATCTCCAAGAAGGGGTCACTAGATGGAGGTTAACTAATTGTCGAGGACAGGTTAAAGGGATTCAGGGCAACGAACTAGGTGATATCGCAGAAGTACTTGATCTCCGGCTCCAGACGCCAGTACCACTCGTACTTCTGGAGCAGTTCATGTTTGTAGAAGAACCTAGTATACAGATGTTAGTATCCGGGGAAACATGGACGTAAAAAAATAGGACAAGATGGAAGACGAACCCAGAGTAGAATCGACACATATGGTGATAGCTCTCCATTCCTCCGTACATGATGGCGGCGTCTCCCTGTTTGCGAATACCCTCTTTGGCTACCTCGGCGTCGGTCCAGTCAGGATATCCCCACATTGAGGAGTCGATCTTGCCAAACTCCACGCCGGACTTGGTGTAGTTGGTGACGGTGTCCTTGAAGTTATCGTCGAAGTCTCCGTCGTTCAGGAAGACATACGGGTAGTTGTAGTACCGGTTGAAGTGGCGCTCAATCGACTTCATGGACTGGATCACACCATCCAGTTCCTTATTTCTGGCCAGGACGACGAAGGCGGCGTTTGCTCTGGGCTGGCTGGTGTCGATTTCTCGGCAGCCGACTTCAAACACCTTGTCATATTTTTCGCTGATTTTTCTGTTTCCCGGGAGCAATAGCCGTCAGTATCACAACAAGATCGTATGTAGCTTACGCGTAAGGAGGACATACCGTATCGAAGGGGGAGTGCCGGTGGGCATCAGCATCCCACCGGGAGAAGAAGGGTGAGTAACGAAGAGGAGGACAATAAGGATTATTACAATGCATGGAAATAGTAAAACAAGGCCCAGAGGGATCGAAATAGAAGAGTTCCTCCGTAGTCGTATGCGGCGTTTAAAAAAAGCGAATCTCGATATTATCGTCCCCTTTTCATTGGTAAGACTGCCATCTAGCGGCGAGGGGGAGAGCATGCCGGGCACACTCTTCGTGAGTCGCTTCATGATCCCCATGATGGCGCCGGGTTCTTGTGTGTACACGGCAGCGCAGGATCGAGGCAGGCGTTCGTTCTGTCTTTTTGGCTGTTTTCTAGAAGGAAAGGGGAAAAAGGAGCTGGATTCCAACGCAGCAAAGCTCGAGGGCGTCCCAGAGCTTTCCTGTCCGAGGAGTAAAAGGGACACTGCAGACAGCGAAAAGGTGCAAATAAACGAGCGACGGGGTCAGGTTAATGTGTTGGTAGTTGGCTTGAAGGCCCGCGAGACAGGCCGTGGACGGCGGACGGTGACGAAGCAGGACGGGGATGGACGGACGGCGAGACGGGGAGTCGACTAACGCAGAGCCATCGAGAGCCAGGCGGACTCGCAGAAAGAGACAGGAAGACAGTCGATGTGGCTCTTCTTCTCCTGCTCCTTCACCTTCTTCTACTGCTTCTGCTTCTCACTGGCGATGTTGTTCTTGTCTTGTCTCTCTGTCTTTTCTTCGTCTTTTCTTTTCGCCTTTTTTCGACGATGAAAAAGAAAGTTGAAAGGGAAGAAACACGCCAAGACTTTCTGACCAACCAAGAAAGAGAAAGAAAAAAAGGGAGAGCGGAAAAAAAGGCGAAGACGAAGACGACGAGGAAGAGAATTTGATTATCGACAGGAAGACAGCAAGCAAGCGAGGCGGGCAGCTGTTGGGGGCGCCGACGGATTCGCAAGAAGGGGCACTTTGCTGCTGCGAAGAAGTCAGCCTTGCAGGCGCTGGTAGTGGCGGGCAGCGAGCAGATATCAAATGTACATCTGGCCCCGGGACACAGAAGCAGCAGCAGCAGCAGGCAGGCAGGCGAAGCCCCTGAAAAGGATCCCGGCGGGCGGTCGAGGTGATTATGATTATCGAGCCTTTGCCAGCGTATCAGAGGCCGCTGGTGTCTCTTGGTAATAATGTACGGAGCATGCGACTGATATTAAGCCTCTTCTTCGCTGCTTCTCTCGTATCCATTCGTCCAGCGCCTGCTGCCACTATCCAGCTGCATGTCTCCCTCCCTAAAGCTGCTGGCGCTCTGCGCTCTGTCATCGAGCCGGGGCCGGGGGGACAAGCGGACCTGAAACTGGTCGAGGCCACCCAAAACCCTGTGGACCTGGAGAAAAAGACGCCCTTCTGCGTCTCCTTCTCCTGCGGCGACAGGGAACATAACATAAAATAGCTACCTGAGATAGATTGGCAATGGCATTAAAAGGGTCTCTGCAGTGCTCCCTGGGTCCCGTCCGGCGCAGGACTCTTCTGTTCTAAACGTCGAGCGGCGTGGCGTCTTCTTCTATACCTAATTCTACCTATACATACTCACATACATACAACATACTCATAATATATCGCTTTTTTCTTTTCTGCATTTTTACGAGATGGCATTGCAACTACAACTCCCGGCAGCGGAGGATCGATCGACTGCGATGGATGCGATCGCCGCAGATGGACACACAGAGAGACCTGGAGTCCGTCGGAGCCAGGTACTGGACGCCTTTTCGCCGGTCAACGAGAACGGGAGCTTCGAGTTCGACCGGGTGCTGAAGAGAGGCAAGGTGCTGCGGCGGTCGAAGAGCAAGCATGTACGCCTTCTAACTACCACTCAATGAGATGCCACCGTTTGGCTAGTCGTTTGATTAATTGACTGACTGCCTGGTTAACTGACTGACTGACTGACTGACGGTTGTGCGAGTAGGCATTCAAGTCGTCGTGGAAGCCCGGATACTTGGTTCTGCGGCCAAACCTGCTCTCGCTATACAAAGACAAGGAAGAGGCCCAGCTGCAGCTCGCCATCTCGCTCTCTGACGTCTCTGCTGTTGCCCACGTCAAGTCCACGCCCAAGTCGAACAGGCCGAACGTCTTTGGCGTCTTCTCGCCCTCGAAGAACTACCGCTTCCAGGCTACGTCGGCAGAGGAGGCAGAGTCATGGGTCGAGCAGCTGCACCGTGAGTGCTCGGTCGACTACCCGGACTCGGTCGTGAACTACTACGAACAGATACACGGCCGGAAGCAGACGGTCGCAGAGGCAGAGGAGAGTGCGGCTGAGATGTCAGAGATCGAAGGCAGAGGAGGCACGGCGGCTCCGGGACAGGTACATTCCCTCTTGAAGGCGCCCGTGCAGCCGGACAGGCTGAAGCGCCGGACCACCCAGGACTACTCGGGCAACGAGATCACCTCTTGCTCCGAGTTCTCTGACGCTGCCGGCCAGTCGTTGCCTTCCGCAGGGCCACATCCTGCGTTCAACCGGAAATCCTTCTCTCGGTCAACCCATAGAGACCAACCACAGCCACTACCACAACCACAACAGCAGCAGCAACAGAATTTACGCCGCCTGGCCAGTGGCCAAAGTGAAGCTGCTCCTAGCCAGCCAGATCCGGAGGGCGTTATATTCCAAGGCTATCTGCAATGCCTAAAGGGCCGAAAGGGCGTCCGCAAGTGGAAAAAGCTATGGACTGTGCTCCGGGTTCAGAGCCTATCCTTTTATAAGGACCAACACGAATACTCGGCCGTCAAGATCATACCAATGACAGAAGTCATCAATGCAGCGGAGGTCGACCCGCTCTCAAGGTCGAAGATCTTCTGTTTCCAGCTCATTACAGAGGACATCACCTACCGTTTCTGCGCTTACGACGAAGAGTCGGTCGACAAGTGGCTCGGCTCGGTCAAGAGCGTGTTGATGAGACTACAGGACTCGTCCATTTACCATTCCGCAGGAACCCTGAGTGGTTCCTTGAACACTCGTTGACGAAAAGCAAAGCTCTCTCTTTACTATATCTTCAGTGGCTGCGCTCCTTAACTAACCTTCCCCCGTCTCCCTTTTTGAAGCATACCACTACTTCTAATGTTAATACCCATCTGCATCCAACGTTCCAAGCGACCAGCAGGCCTAAAAACCAACACTATAACTGTGCATATCCAACTGTTCTACACGGCATAGCACTCTGTATATTCTTCTCTTTATTTTCCTTTTTTATAACCTCATTTCTACTGTTGCCTTTTCTTTGGACTACTAATGAAATCTGAGGCTGTACCAGCCGCTCCCCTCCCTCAAACACCACCTCCTATCCCTTTCATTTGTCTAACGTTTGATCGACTCAACCCGGACGACACTTTCTGGACATGCTACCTTGTCGAGCTGGGCCCATTTCCTGGCTGTTATTGGCCATGTCTCTTATAAACAAATTAACTTATTTAATATCTGCCTTGGACGAGGGAGATCTGCCCTGTCTCTACTTTACGGAGAACCTAGGTATATATGCATACGATCTTATATCTCGTCGCGAGCGTCAATCAATCAAAATAGGTGCTATCCACCTTTCATATATACCTCTCCCTGCAAACATGCTCTTCAACCTAACTCCGCGACCTCTAGTTATCGCCACAGTCTATATAATCTTCCCCCTGTTCTCTGTCTTTCTAGACTTTTTTGATGTGTAAATTAAGGTGCGATCGATTACTAAGATACTTTCTTAGTAATCTTAAGCTTTTCAGCCTCATCAGCCCTCGTGACCCAGGTCCCGTGACATCGATTTCCGCCAGGCCGCGCTTTTCATAAAGGATGCAGAGGAAGAAGAAGGAGAATTATCAGAGAAGAGAAGAGAAGACAAGAACCCAGGCTTCACGGTTTGGCGTGAAGATATCTTTACTAGAAATTCCGCTCCTTATAAATATCCCCGTTCGTTGATTTATCCTTCGCGTACCTATCCTTTAACCACCCGCATTCTTTACCTAGCCCTGAGCAAGCCTGCGAGGCAACAGGGTCTGCCTGCAGCCTGAGCCTGGCTACCCACCATGGGCTTCTTCGACCACCTTCAGAAGAAAGGGACGGGCGTGATACAGGCTCAAAAGGCCCAGATACGGAAAGTCGAATGCAAACCGCCCATCGTCAGGTCCTCGTCGGCCCCATCACACCCCGTGAAACCCCCCTCTGCTCGCGCGCACTCCGAATCTTCCGCCAAACGCACCGTCACCTCACCACGAAAGCCGAACTTATCTGACTCTACCGGGGCTGTGAGGAAGAAGGCTTCTTTTCCGAGCAAGTCCGATCACCTAGCAGTTAACCCACCTCGTTCGAGGTCCGTGTCCCGCAAGCGATCGTCCCCCGCAGTCCAGCAACTTGTTAGCAGTAGCGATGAGAGCGAGACCGATGAGTCACTGGATATCCGGCTGTCGAAGAGGACAAAGGTGAGCGCGAGCGCGGAGCCGGATTTAAAACGCCAGTTACGCTCTGAGGTTGCGTTTTCTGAGTCTGCCGAACGGTCGTTCCCCATGGTCCATGCTTTGGACATAGCATCTGTCGAGAAGAAGACTCCTGGATTCAGAAATGCATTTAAAGAGCCCAATGGATGCACGACCATAGCACTTCAATATCCCACATACTCGCAGAGGGAGAGGTATCAGCTGGTTATACCCCGAGAAAACGACGGGTTCAAACCGTTGGAGGATATTGTGCAGGTAGTCGAGACTGTATCACATAACTACATCCCCGAGGACCAGATATCTCTCTTCACTGATGACTCCACTGGCTATATCCGTCTTTTGCGGCGTGCAATCAAACAGGAATCACCAAAGGATTTCTGGAATGCGGTGAAGGCATATAATGAAACGATAAGACGGCTTCGGGATGAAGGTGTTATCGCCAAACACCTCGATGCGATGCATTCGCTCTCCCTGCCGTGGGTGGAGCGCATTTTAACCCAGGTGTATAGCCGGACCGTCTCTCTGCGCGTGGAATCACTGAAAAAGTATGAGAGCGGAACTGATAACGTCTATGGAGAGCTCCTACCCCGCTTCATCTCAGATATCTTTCAAAAGACGCATTTAAAATCCGACCAGGTATTTGTTGACCTGGGCTCTGGCGTGGGCAACGTTGTCCTCCAAGCCGCCCTAGAAGTTGGCTGTGAAAGCTGGGGCTGTGAGATGATGCAAAATGCCTGCGACTTGGCTCGACTGCAACAGGCTGAATTTAAAGCCAGATGTCGATTATGGGGCCTCTCGTCGGGCAAAGTACATTTAGTCCAAGGAGACTTTTTGGATAACGAACGCATCGCGAAGGCTCTTCGGCGGGCAGATGTTGTTCTTATTAATAACCAGGCATTCACCCCTGAGACGAACAACATGATAATCAATCTCCTGCTTGACCTGAAAGAAGGTTGCCGGATTGTCTCGCTCAAATCCTTTGTTCCAGCCGGGCACAAGATGCAGGCCCGAAACCTCAACTCACCTATTAACCTGCTTTCAGTTGAGAGGCATAACTACTGGTCTGACTCTGTTAGTTGGACTAATGCTGGGGGCACCTATTTCATTGCGAAAAAGGATAGCTCCAGGCTCCGAGCATTCTCAGACGCTCTTTTATAACTGAGTGATCTTACGCTCTTCTCCTTTCCTTCTTTTCTTTTTGGAAGCAACGACCTAGACCGCTACTGCGTTTATATCCTGTTTTTTTTGAAACGTTGTGGATGATTATAGATGGAGGTTGTCGATATCATTAGACGTTTCTGGATTCCTCCCCCTTTTGTCGCCTATAATTACTCTCGCGAGTCACATCGCATTATTTCCTTCTTTCCCTATAGATTGGTCATTCTCTATGGATGAGTCGAAGTATTATGAAACTCATTCCCTTCTTTAGAAGACACTCGTTGGATTGGCGGTGCGTTTGGCGGTTTATACCCGGGTGTTTGGAATGGTTGGGCCAGGGTTTGCGTTACCGTTTGAGCAACGTTTGACCGTGGGAGGTGCTTCGTCGCCTTTCACTCTGTGTACTTATTAGATGCAAAGAAATCGAACAAAAATAAATGTACATTTAGTATTTCATATCGTCTACTATAACTGAAACCACGTATTCAGCATAGAGGGTTGATTTCATCAGAATAAGGGAACAAGGAACTCAGTCTATTGACATACTGTTCTATCAATCTCCTTCAAAGGCAAAAATTTAAGCTATGAAAACCTCGATGCTTTATTCATGGCTTCAGCTTCCTGTCCCATTCTCGCCATCCATCTATCCACGAGCTGTTGATTCTCTTCTTCATATTTCTTAGCCCGTTCCTCAGCCATATTGAACTGTAGATTGAGTGACACAAGCTCATCTTGGACATCCTGTAATCGCAACAAGTTAGCAAAGCAGGACATGGCTTTCCTTAATAGATTAGGGGTATTAAGTAAGAGTCAGAACAAACATCAAGTAGCTTAGCCTTCCCCCGCAGTTCTTCGTCCCTATCCTTCAGACGGGTTTGGAGTTGTGTTCTTTCCACAGCCAAATCTGCTGCTCTCTGTGACTCTGCATTTAATTTTCTCAGGAGTCTATCCATCTTCCCCGTGGCCTGCTCAAGTTTGTTCGCTAGTTCTTCTCGCGCTTTCTGCGCAGCAGCCAGATCTTGATTCGCAGCAAGCAAGGGATCTAACCCGGACGGAATAGCAGCGCTATCATCTAGGCTTTGTTGCTTTCGGTCTTGAGGGGTATGGGTGCCTTTAGATTTTGAGAGGCTCCGGGCATATTGAACCGCTTCAGCCCGTTCTTTTTCCAGACTGACGGAGCGATCAGCCAGGCGGGTATCTATACAGCCACTCAGTAAATAACAAGTAAAAGCTGAAATTATAATGAGTTGTTTACTTGAAGGACATACAGGCCTCGAAAACATAAATATTTGCCTTCTCTCGCTCGTCTCTTATGCGCAAGGCAGTTGAATAGCCCTGCCTCCAGTTTGACATGTTGGCTTAGGCCGCAGTACAACTAGTTTTTTCCGTCTATTAGTAAAAAAAGAGGGATAGGCTCGAGAGAGAAGCAGCACTATGGAAGCCAGACGATCCCTTTTTATATAACATGGCTGGGTATAGTCTGCAGTTTGTCTATCAATTTGCAGGACGCTGTGTGATGGACTAAAAGAACCGTGCTCTCAAAATTCGTTATTTAACAAACTTACATAAACGGCACGCAGAATGGTGGTATAGTAAGAGCTCCAGTTTTGGAGGCCGTAATGCGTGAGACAAGAAGGTCTTCTCCTGAATTCCAGAGGATGTAAGTGTTTACACCCCACCCTTCTGTAGAGAGAGGTATCCTTCGAGTCCTAAATTTTCCTAATAACGGCGAAAACTGGCCTCAAGAATTAAACACCCAGCGTCTGAGGACGCGAGCCTCAGCAAAGTCGTAGGGTATCAACTTCCGAATGACCGATGCTGGTTGTATAATAGTACTCTGCACAAGTAGCTGCCCCTTGCAGTTGTGGCCCCTACGGTTGGCGGTCCTTGAGTAACCAGTGAAAGTAGAGCCTGCTTGACTGGCTATAAGGAGCCACGATATATTGAGTATCTGGTTAGTACCTGGTATAGAATCGGTTGTAGGTCCTAAACGGCGGCAAGAAAGATCCACTGATACAAATCAAGTCAACCAAGGCACGTGATAATTGGCTCCCTTATGGCTAATATAAGGACCTCGGGAGGTTCCACTTGTAAGGGACACCGGATTAACAATTATCCAGGGTTCTAAGGACCTCTAGATTATGGAATGTATTACTAATCAGTATTTATACGCTTGCCCTACCGATGGAAACTCGTGTTGCAGGGGAGATAGACGTGGTGTGGAGAGGGGTAAGGAATAGAATAAGTAGCTTTGGGCAAGGTCCTGAGTAACTAGGTCCTTGCTAGCTATTGTCAGTTCTATCGCAGGCGAAATACGATAGTATATAGGAATCTTTAAGATTAGTAAGGATTTAAAATTATAAGAGAGTTAAGTTGTTGTTTTTCTTTCTAGAAACTACAAGCTCTAATACAGAATAAGAACTAAGATAAGCACACGTGATCTCCACTTCCTGTATGTTACATAATTAGTATTAGCTCGGAGCGACCGCTCTTAAGAAAAACAACATCTTAAGTCACTGCAAATACAACAGGACCTGACTTGCGTAACGTCCAGAACCGCGACGAGCCAATGTTACTTTCCAATATACAAGTTCCAAAACATGTCGCCCTCCAGATCTGAGATCATAAATAGCCACCCGATCGGGGACCGGCTAGATGAGTTCCACGATCTATATAGCATCTGTCAGTCACTATTCGTGCCTACGTTAACAGATGAAAGCGCCCATGGCTCGGACATTAAGACGAGGGTGTTCAATTTTATTATCGCCTTTACAACTCTTCCTGCTTGTCATCAGTTGCCTTCTACTAAGAGATCCGGTGCTCTTTACTTAGACCTTTTTCAGCTTGCCGCTAACTTTGAGATTATACCCCTTCTACCTAATAACCTTATGATTAACGAGGACAAGGAGAGCGTGTCCTGGAGGGCTTTTATTATTGATATGGACCTTGCTATTAAAGAAGATCGAGAAGATATTTCAGGAGCACGAAGTAAGACTGGCACGCGAGCATTCATAGCGATTGGAGTTCTTCTAGATGAACAACACTCCTTTATGCACGATCTTGAATCATTCTTCTGGGTCTTATTCTGGATATGTATTCATTATGAGGGGCCTAGAAAGGGTCGAGTTGTCAAAGACTACGACGAGTGGAATTATATGAGTACAGAGAAGTTGGCGAAGGTGAAAGTAGGAACTGTGGATGAGGCGATCTTCATGAGAACCATTTCAGCCAACTTTACGCCCTACTATGAGCCACTGATTCCCCATGTTAACAGACTACGGAGGGAGGTATTCCCAGCAGATAAACCCTGGAGGAAAGAAGACATAGGACTGTATTCTAGGATGAAGAAAGTCCTACGGGATGCACAAGCAGACCCAGCGGTGCTTGAGATATTATGAGACAGTCCTCAATCCAGGCCGTGTACAGTACATAGATTGGGACAAACTGAGCTCTGTATTTTATACGCTGTACCTATGTACATTAATTCTTTCTAGTTTAAACATGCTATAATTATACTTGCCTGTGCAATACCACTGTAGAAAGCTCTTGTTGGAAGTTCGCATGGGGCCCAAGATAGTATGTGACTAGAAGAATCACGGAGCACCAGTTATAAAAAGATTCACTTAGTTAACCAGGGTCAATTATGTACCTGCCTTTACCTCTCGGTCAGTGATTTCATCGCTCAGTCCCGGTGTTGATAATGCTGGCTTGGCCACGCATTTAAAGGCGGTCTCTGTTAGGTGGTACACTCTGTGATAACTGGTTGACTTGTCTTCGTTGAAATGTGTTGAGCTATCTGAGGATGTTCTGTCTTGGATATATAAGGTAAGGTGTGGACATAATGACCTACATGATGATGGTGACTAACTAAGCATGACATGTTGACTTGATAGACCGATGGAAGCTCGTATTGCAGGGAGGAATGGCGTAACGTGGAGAGGAATAGGGAGTGGAATAAGGCAGCCTTGTCCTTGCAGGTTATTGCCAGTTCTATCATAGTTAAAATACGAAGGAACTAACAATAACCTGCAGAGACTAAGTTACATAAGACCTTGCCCAAGGCTACCTTATTTTATTCCTTATCCCTCTCCACGTCACGCCTATCTTCCCTGCAATTCGAGCTTCCATCGGTTGACCTGGTAGTAGTTTTGTCTACATGTACTTAAATACATTTCTGCGAGATATCTGCCACCTGCTAAAAATCACACTGTTGGAGCGCTTAATATGAACAGTGATTGATTGATTGATTTATTGTCCCAACCGCCCTTGTGGCCGCTATGCAGCGGACAACATTGACGGGCGACCAAGAATGCGTTTAGTATCCACGCATAGAGTCTTGCCTGCCCACATTCGATGTCGTTCGCCCCCCCAGTTTCGGCATTTCAGAATGATGTGCCGTACCGTCTACGATAGATAGCCACATTGGCATTTGTTGGTGTCGGCTTTATTGATGTGTACGTGCAGGCCGATCTACAAATTATTCAAATTCTGGAGAGCCCGTAGTAACCATCATGTGACGTTAAGGGGAAAATACTTAAGGGTCAGCGGTCTTGGCGTCCGTGTTATGATGTTATGCAACTTCAACTTCTCTGGGAGCTCCAAAACACCAAATAAACGACCCGCGGATCACCTCGTCGCCCGCAGAGATCCCTGGTTTTACGGACATCGTCAGAGTAGAGCCACCTCCGTGTACCAACTATTTTATATACATCAACCACTAGAGCAATACGACTCTTCGCAGCCGAGCTCCTCGTGGTGTTCTCCGACAGCATCCCGCTCTTCGACTGACTTCCTGGCAACCTGAGCTTGCCTGTGCTGTCATACATACTACTCTGCAGCCATGGCGTCCCGCAAGAAGGTTCTATTGAAGGTAGGCTACTTGCCATAGATGAAAACTGGCCACTCTCTCGGATAGGGAACGGATTACTGATGTTTTTCTTCTTCGAATACAGGTTATCATCCTTGGTGATAGCGGTGTGGGCAAGACCAGCTTGATGAACCAATATGTTAGAGGCTCTTGTCACCCCATACCAAGTTATTAATACTCCTTGGGGAATTAATAATGCTAATATCTCTTCCTTGATGGCCAGGTCAATAAAAAATACAGCGCCAGCTACAAAGCCACCATCGGAGCTGATTACCTTACCAAGGAAGTCATGGTAGACGGACGGCTGGTCACTATGCAGGTACATACCGACCCTTACACCCAACATCACCTGAAGATAAGATACAGATTACTAAATCTTCCATTCTTAATTCTTCTAGATATGGGATACTGCGGGGCAAGAGAGATTCCAGTCATTGGGAGTCGCTTTCTACCGAGGTGCCGATTGCTGTGTCCTCGTATACGATGTCAACAACTCAAAGAGTTTCGAGACCTTGGATAGTTGGAGAGACGAGTTCCTCATTCAAGCTAACTTGAGGGACCCCGAAAGCTTCCCGTTTGTGAGTAGCATGGCTTTATCTCCAATACACGGACGAGAGGAATACTGATATAAAGTGTAGGTTGTACTTGGAAACAAGATCGATGTTGAGGAGAGCAAAAGAATGATATCCTCAAAAAGGGCCTCTACATACTGCCAGTCGAAGGGTAACATTCCCTACTTCGAGACTAGTGCCAAAGAGGCTATCAACGTAGAGCAAGCGTTTGAAGGTCCGTTTTTTTAAACCCTTCTAACACCTCCAACTGGCTTGACCTAACATCTGCATGAACAATAGTGATTGCCAAGAGTGCTCTCATGCAAGAAGAGTCCGAGGAGTTCAACGGTGACTTCGATGACGTTATCAACGTCAACCACGATAGTGACCGAGATGCCTGTGCCTGTTAATGACAATTCAACTGATCCTTTAGAGCCCTCTCCTTCACTTAATTCTTATGGGACTTTCCTTTTCGGCGTTTTCGTTCCCTCTGTTTAATATCACCACCTTTTGCCCTCTCATCTAGGATATAGGATACTGACCCTTGCATATTACTGTTTCCTTACAGCCTTTTTAACCTTGTCACAGTCATCATTCAGGGAGACGGCCCATTACATATTCAATGAAATTCAGTTGTTCTGAATTCAGATGTCATCTCCACGCCCTGCACTCAGCTTTCCTTTCAAACAGGAGTGTACATATATATAGCTATCTTGACCCATATTATCCTTATTCCGGCCCCGGTTAGCCATTTGGACTACCCAGTGTTTTCCTCCTGTTATTTACCCCGATAGGGCGCCTTTTTTACACTTAATTATGCCTCTCAACTACGGCATAACCAGTTAGTAGTAGGCGAGCAACAAGGCTAGAGTGTTACACTAAACCAGTTTAAAGTAAGCCACAGGAGGCAGAGCAGAATCGCTTGGGTAGAATCTTCGTTCTTTATTCACCCTTCGTTTTACATGTATAATCCTCTGCCTCTGAGACGTATATGTCAGCCTGTCGTTCGTAAATATGATGACTGGTCACGATGTCTCTGAAGGCGCTGATAGCGCTAGACGTCGATACGAGGACCAAGAACATTCCAACGTCCATCAACCGCAACCAACATCGACCACCGCACTGTTGGGCGGATATCAAGGCAGCCCGATGGCCCCAACCAGCATGGGCAGACGGGGACGGCGGACCTTGGGCACTTTTCTCCTCATGATAGTCGTGGTACTCTGGACGACGTCGAACTTCCTTGCCAGCGTAGGTCCCCAATAGCTTCACGGCTAAGCTAAGCCAGCCGCATATCCCGACAATTAATGCAAGCAATAATGGGTGACGGTAGCTGCATGGCTTTGTAGTTATTTACTAATCCTGATGCTGTATAACAATAACAGACTATATTCGCCGATAACACTTACTCCAAGCCGTACCTGGTAACATACCTGAACAGCGGGTCCTTCATCTTCATGCTTGTGCCTTTCGTCGGTGGCCGACTTCGCAGACTCTGGAAGACGGGGAAACTGCGAGATATCAGGTCATTTCGAGCTCTAATCAAGGAGTTTGAGCATCCAACACCTGGAGAAGAGGCGAGACCAATCCTGGACCCCGACCAAGATGAAGGGCTGCCACGAGAGTCGGGGGATACAGGTGCACCAGAGCAACATGCCACAACCAGAGCTAAGCTAGGTTTCAAAGCGACAGCTACACTGAGCTTAGAGTTTTGCATAATATGGGTAGGCAATACTTTTTTATTTATACATATTTTGTTGATGGCTGCTAACTGATGTGAAGTTCGCGGTAAGATACATTCATACCCCAGAGTTGATATATACCACGTTAGGAAGTATGTCAGTCTAACAACGAGTTTCAAGGCAAACTACTTTGCCATGGCATGTTTGCAGTATACAAGTGTTGCCAGTACGACTGTGCTGACATCCACAAGCGGTAAGCATGTAGTCACAGAATATATATAACATAGCTACACTAACATGCTGCTCTAGGGGTATGGACGCTTATATTTGGAGCAATGATCAAGGTTGAAAAGTTCACGCTCAGCAAATGTATTGGAGTTCTCACATCCCTACTCGGCATATTTTTAATATCCAGGGTCGATATCTCTACCTCAAATCGTTCGAAAGATGATACCTCTCCCAATAAGCCGCCTGGTCAAGTAATTCTTGGTAACCTCATGGCCGCATTCAGCGCTATGTTATACGGAGTTTATACCACTTTGATGAAAAGACGGGTTGAAGATGAATCACGAGTTGACATGCGCCTGTTCTTTGGCCTGGTTGGAATTTTTGCCTCTCTAATCCTCTGGCCTGGGTTCATCGTATTGCATTATACTGGAATTGAACCGTTTACTCTTCCACCAACCAAACTTGTCTTCTTAATTGTTTTGGTAAGTGTTATAACTACTCGCTATAAACGAAGTGGCCACTTTTTTATATTGACTCATGACAGGTTAATGCAATCATATCCTTTGCGTCCGATATATGCTGGGCCTTTTCGCTATTACTTACGAGTCCGGTTATCGTGACTATTGGACTGAGTCTCAACATTCCGTTATCGTTACTCGGTCAAATCGTTATCCAGCACAAATATGCAACTGGACTGTATTGGTTCGGCGCTACCCTTGTATTTGCTTCCTTTATAGTCGTGAACTATGAAACCCCAGTTTAATAGGTGGAGCGTTGCATTCAACGTCAATGGGAGTTATTTCGGCTTACTTTGTGTTTAATGGAAATCGAAGTATCACTGTTTCGGCAAGCGTTCAATTTATTTGATAGCATAGCGATAGATACCCATAGCTATCGAGTTATATTTTTTGGGGAACTCCTTTAATGGGAAATTGAAGAATAGCAGAGTTATCTATTGACAAATCTATTTGTATAAAGGTAAATATCATTTACTCTTTTTCTTCGCCAACCTCTTTTCCGCTCTGATATCCTTTTTCATTCGAGCATCAACAATCTTGTATCGTCCCTTGACTCCTCTAGGGCGACCAGAAATACCCTTATTTCCTCCCTTAGCCACCACAAGCTTGACGCTCTGCTTTGGCTTTTTCTTGGTAGCCTTGCTTATCATTTTAGCAATTGATTGGGCCTTATCTCTTTCACTGATGCCCTCATCCTCAGCTAACAGTGAAGACTTCTTGCGTAATTTTTCCAGCTTCTGAGCTTGTTTGAATTTCTTTCTGCTCTTAGCTTCACGGACCTTCTTGATCGGCCGGGCATTGATGGCGCGCATCTTCTCTTTGATTGCTGCCGCTGCTGCGGCAGTTATTGGCCTTTGTAATTTCGAATGTTGATTCTCGTCATCAAGGAACCACTGCGGAAGACCATCAACATCGCGGAATGAATATCTATGGAAACCATCGTCAACAAAGTCCTCGGTTGTTTTCTCGCCCTTGGCCATTTGATGGGCCAAGGCCATGGCTTCAGCTGTTATTATATCGACGTCTATCAAAGTTAAATTAGTAATGTGTTCAAAAAGAAAAGTATGGAAATAGAAGTGCACCTACCAAGTTGACCGTTTTTCTTCCGTGGATCGTCGTTTAACCGGGGATTGTCGTCATCGTCGAAGTTCTCTGGCTTCTCTAGCATAACCTCCTGGTAGCTGGAGTCACTGGCTGTAGACGGAGAGGGTGAAGCAGCTTTTCGACTCTTTTTTGTAGCTTGCTTTTCAGCAGTAGCAGATTGCCCCTTGGTCACTCCATTTGTCTTCGTGGCATTGGCATCATCGCTTGCTTCTCCATCCTCAACGGCTCCAAGATCACGGAATATATCTTGGTCGAAAAACATAGCAGCCTTATTAGAGAGACCATTTACATGATCTCCCACAGGCGCTATTGGGAACGTTTGAGGAGATTCATTATCTGATTCCTCTCCTTCCTCCTTTTCAGAAAAGCCTTCCCATTCTTCTGTTTCATAATCCTTGCGTGATTTTTTGGCTCGTACTTTGGCGTCTCGACTTTCGCGTGCCTCTTGGTATTGAGAGTACAGGGTATCGAGTTGACGTTCTAATCGGTCAGCATCTTCATCTGAGTCCTCTTCACCGGAATCTTCTTCCTCTTCACTACTACTTTCTATCGCAGCGGCCATACTACTAGCAGATACCGAGCGTGCAGCTGGTAATTTCTCTGCTGTTTGTAATTTGAACATTGCTCCCTCACCCAGTGGACCAGCCTGCTCCATTCCGATTTCTTTTGGCGTTGTCATATTCATCTGCAACCTGACAATGTCCTTTCGTTTCCGCTCGTTCTCTTTTCGTCGCTCACGCTTGTTCTTTGAAGACTCACGCTCATGCATGCGCTTAAGGTCTTCTTGAAGGGCAAGTTCTTCGTCCATGGGCTCAACTTCGGCAACTTCTTCAGTTTCCTCATCATTCCTTGGGCCCTTTTTCACCGCTAGCCCGAATTTCTCGCGCACTTTGATTCTCCATCGTAGTAATTGTCGGAAGTCCTTTTTGCCTAGAACCTTGAGATCCTCGCAGCACATCCGCACTTCATCGGTTGTCTCTGGTAACCGTTGCAAAGTAGCAAGGGCAAGGTCGCCACCGGGAGATTGAGTAAATGTGAGCTTGTTATAGGAACCCAAAATTGAAATAGGATCTATGGTGTTTATGAACTCCGTTGCTGGTAATTCCTTGTGCTGGGTCCAATCATTTTCTTCGTATCCATCTCGCTTTCGCTTCTTCTTTTCTGGATTGAAAACTTTGGCCTCGTTGTTCGGATTTGGATCTTGCAGTTCCGCAAAGACATGCTTGGGGTCTAGAAACTTGGGGTCGATATGCTTAGGGGCTTTAAATCCAAGGCAGACAACGAAAATTTCAGCCGACACATTTCGAGAAGATGGTGGTTTCGTGGCCTCCACCGTGGTGAAGAGCTGTTTGAAGACCCAGAGAAGAGGATTGTAATCTTTCGATCTGAAAACTTTCGTAACGAATGTGCCTCCTGGTACCAGGAACTCTGTTGCTAACTTCAATGACTGTAGAACCAATTCCGCCTGGGAGAAAGCATCTTGTACCCAGGCCGTACCGACGTTCGGCGCACCATCGTGAAGTACCGTATCTGCCTTCCATGTCTTGAAATGTTGTCGAATTGTGGCCCTGCACTTATCGGTTGTGATGTCGCTTTGGAATGTGATGACCTTGGGGATTGCCTTGATAGGGGAGAGATCAACACCGACTATAAGACTCTGCGATGGCATGCATTCGGCTGCAACTTGACACCATGACTAAAAGTTCATAGAATGACATTAGTATGGCAGTGGGACAAGCATATCATTGGGATATGAAACAAGGGTGGCATTGGCTTACACCTGGGGCTGCGCAAAGATCCAAAAGGACTTTACTTTTCTCAAGAAAGCCATATTTCTTGTTCAGCTGGATCAATTTGAAGGCAGCTCGCGCGCGGTATCCCTTCTCCTTCGCCAATCGATACCACTTATCTAAACGACCTTTTCCGTGCTATTGTTAACCCAGTCAGTCAGTACCTCCCATTCACAGCACAAGACATGATATCAGTGAATAATCTACCTTCTTCTGGATCGCCATGGTGCAGTCTAACGGCCCGTCCCCGAGCACTCAGCTTCTCCCCCTTGGATATAAAAAAACGGCGGTGTCTGGCTGTCTGTCTGTATGTCTTCTCCAGCTCAGGTAAAAAAAAAGCTCTGCAAAAGCAACTTTTCTGCCAATCCTCACCGCCCTAATCGCTTCTTCTTATCAGATCTACATTACATAATCAATGACATCACGTTACCTGAGCTACTGACCAGGACGAGGCGCATCAAAAGAAGCCAAAGCGACAACAGCTCGAACTACCAAATCACTATTTACACGCTTGATCCCCCCCGTATTGACCGGGGAAACATGATAGACGCTTTTATGACCCGCCAAACTGCGTGGTGATGCTCTATCATCGGCCTCGATGGCTCCCGCAGCGCGTGCAACACGAGCAACAAAGAGTCAGAGAGGCAGCAGTTCAAAGCCAGCAGGCACGAACAACACAACGACTAACGAAGATACCGTCAAGGAACTACCAGGAGATGGAATGGTGAGGGCATCCCCTGTGCTTCTATTGTTTGGGTGTGCCACTACTGACACTCCTTTTTCCCTCTTAGAGCTGGTATCTTAGATCTTGGCCCACTCAGTCAAAGGCGGCGGCCGTTACCGAGGTCGCCCGTGAGAGCATATCAGCGGCTAGTTCAGCGGCTTCTCAACGCTCACGATCATCCTCATCTTTACGAAGCACAGCCAAATCCTCCCGACCTCCCTCGATCCAGTTGACGAAAAAGGGCGGAGCATCTGCTAGGTCGCTCCCAGCCGACGTTGCCACAACAAAAGTGAACATTGCATCAACAGGGGCCTTGCCTATGCCAATCGTCTCGAGTGATATTGTTAGGAATGTCCATAGTGGTTTAAAACCGTCCGACGTTACGAATAAAACGGATGGCGAGCTAAAGAAGGACGAGGAATCACAGGAAGCAGACGCGAGTGAGCAAAAGAAGGACTCATCGAATGCACCATCGGAAACAGTTGAACTACCACCGAAAGATGCACATAACGAACCCCCGCGCTCAACAGGTTGGTTCGAGTGGCTCTCAATGGCAAAGACTACAAATGAACCCACTGAACCTACTCAGCAACCATCTGACCCTGCTGTTGTGAAGGAGGAAGAGGTTGGGTCGTCTACACCGAAGATTGAAACTGAAGAAACATCCAGTTCAACCAATCACGATATCAACAAACATGATAGCTCGGCACTCAAAGAAACACAAATTTTACAATCAAGGTCATGGTTTCAATTATGGGGAGGATCTACTTCAAGCCTTCAAGCAAAACCTCTTGAATCGATCACGAATCCCGAAGGCGTGGAGAACACCACCGCTACATCACAATCTAATCAACCGGGAGAAACTATCAACTCGACACAACCAGAAGATGCAAGTGATAAAAATCAACCAGCCGAAGAAACCACCCATAAACGTGCAGAATCTGCCTCTGGATGGCTCTTTTGGCCAAGACAACAGGTAGACGCAGGGTCTGTTGCTAAGAACGGAGAACATGCAGCAGAGAACGTGCCATCCGATGGAAACACCAAGGAACAAGTGGCGGGTTCCTCGGTGGCCGCAGAGGTACAAAATATCCCGGCATCCAAGAACTCTCGTGTCAAATCATCTACGGCTACTCCCCCAGCCGCAACTCCCCCCGAACCCTCTTCGCAAACCGTTCCCAAAGAACCGCCACTCCAACCGGCAAATGTTCCTGTAACTCCGCCAACGAAGAAAGGGGAGCGTACGCCGCCAAATCAAGTTCTCCCGTCCTTCCAAACGAGTTTTCCCGTCGAGAGTAGGCCTGGTTTCATTGAGCAGCTCAGCCGTCTACTTTACAAGAAGGGATCGGAACCGAGACACGTCTTACGCAGCCACACCACCCCGCAGATTAAAAAAGCCATTGCAATCGGTATCCATGGGTACTTCCCTACACCGTAATCCGAAGGGTATTGGGCCAACCGACAGGAACCTCCGTTAAGTTTGCCTCTATGGCCGCCAGAGCGATTGAAGAATGGGCCGATGAAAACAACTCACCCTGCCACATCGAAAAGATTGCCCTCGAGGGCGAAGGCCGCATTTCCGAGCGGGTCGACTTGCTCTGGAAACTACTTCTCAACTGGATTGAGCATATTCGGGAGGCTGACTTTGTGCTGGTCTCTTGCCACAGCCAAGGTGTCCCGGTTGCAACTATGCTGGTCTCGAAGCTAATAGCCTTCGGCTGTGTGAGCAGCGCGCGGATCGGCATATGCGCAATGGCAGGTATCAACCTAGGGCCATTCGCTGACTATAGGTCCCGTTGGATCAGCGGGTCAGCCGGAGAGTTGTTTGATTTTACGGACACTGAAAGCAAGGTCTCGAAAGATTACCGCACGGCTTTGAAGGCTGTTCTTGATTTTGGGGTAAAGGTTACTTACGTTGGAAGTATAGACGATCAACTTGTATCTATGGAGGTAAGTATTCATCCACTAGAACACTATGTTCAGAATGCTTTGACCTCAAACATGCACTTACCGCCAGTTCCTAGTCATCTACATTCACAACCGTCTCACACCCTCATATTTACCGTGCCGTATTTGTCGACGGACGGGTGCATGCTCCCAGCTTGTAAGTGAAATGACTTGATGAAACTTCCTTGACATGATAAACTGCATGATTAGTCTTACATGTCACTGTCTAGTCTTTCGCATCTGGTTGGCTTCACTATGAAACTGCGTAACCTAGGAGTCTCCGACCACGGCCTAATTCGAGAACTCAGTTCTCCTCTTGCTGGGAGTTTATACACCGGAGAAGGTCACTCCCGCCTCTACGAAGACAAGAACGTCTACAAGTACTGCCCCCTTTTTTTGCCTCCATCAAACCCAAAAGCCGTGTGTGTGCATAAAACTAATGAGCCGGCTGCATCTAGACTAGCAATAAGGTTTGCCTTGGAAACGACTGTGGTCAACAACACAGCCGTCCAGTTTCATAAGATGATTGCGCCCACGGCGTCGACGTCAACTGCGAACCCGTACATACTTCCGTTTGCGATGCGCGGAGTGCTCGAAGAAGAATACGTTCGGCAGGAATTGTCGGACGAAACCACGGAGCTGTTGAAACAGTTTGAGGACTGGAAGCCGTCCACAAAAACATTAAAAGACGTCAAGTTCCGTTTAGAGGGGATACGGTCTAAACTTTGATACCATTTGTCTTTTCCCCGCGATATATATTAACTTTATACCATTGCGTTTAAGCGATTTGTTATTTATTCAGTGTATAGAGAGATGGCGATTATCTCGCTCATGTCAGCGAGAAGTTTTAATCGCATGGACGTTTCTAATGAAGAACATTTATCTACATTTCAAATTTCGTATCCCTCGCGAGCCAATATATATCGTTCATCACCCACTTTAAAAAGCACCAGGAAATTTACCGTGGGCTGAATAATGCGCCAAAAAAAAAAAAAAAAAAAAAAAAAGAAAGAAAAAAGAAAAGAAAAGAAAATGAGTTGAGTAGATAGTTAAGCATGGTTTACTCCTGCGGAAACGCCGTGAGATATGCTCCCTCGATTTCATCTATATAACTATTAGTTTCCAATTGCCCGCTTCTAGGAGTTAGATGGTGTTGCTTACCTCTCATACCACCTAACGCTTCAAACGCCATAGAATAATTCCGTACAGCTCCGATAACGCACTCAATCCCATGCTGCAGCTCGTCACCAAGCTGGTCTGTGTCACTTAGAGGACTCTCGACCATACCAGGATTACCTGCTCGGGACTTATAGTAAAGCATAAACATAGCGTAACTGCTCTGCATCGCGCAACAAGCAAACGAAGGCATTGTCCGAGGAACAACAGGCGTGAATCCCAGCGAAGAATACTCCTTGTCGTATGTTGGCTTGGGATACGGTAGACTGTCGAACATCTGGGCAATAGATAGAGCAGCTTCCAGACATATGCTGGTTGACGTAGAATTCGAGAATGGAAACGAGTCTTCGGGTATCCATCGAGAGCCTGAAGTGTCTGATACCGGCGAACTGGAAGAAATGGGGCTTTCTAACTGGGTATTTGCAGGAGGCGCAGCTGGAAGTTGGCTGAAGTTGCTCGAACAGCATGATATCGGCTGTATGGTATCCTGGAATTCCAGTACGCTTGAAGAGCTCTCTGTGGTTGGGCTGGCTATGCTTGCGCAAGTTAAATCACAGTGCTTTTTGATAAATATCGGTATATCGAGAAAGGCGCGGAACCGATGTGTCTTTATTCGTGCGCTGGTTATGAAAAGTGTCAGAACAGAATAAACCTGTTGTTATAGCAGTTTGGTGGAAAGAATGTTCTCACCTGCACAGTTTTATTCGTGAAATATACCGAATACTTTGAGCCGTGATACTTTCTACGTCTTGGGGAGAAGTGACTGAGGGTTCCTGGAGTGGCGCGTCTATCTGCGCAAGTATAGACGAAGTCCAGGCCGTTAGTTTCCCCATTCGTTCAAAGATGATGCCTAAGTTCGCTTTTGCCCTCAATGCGCGATTAAAGTCGATGATATACTGTGTGGCGGCGACCAGCGCCTGCTGTGCTTGAATTAAAATAGACCATGCCTGTGAAGTGGTTAGAGATTAGCGACTTGGTTTGGCGGTAGTAGAAAGTAGATAGCAGGTAGTCGTACTCTAAAATCTGATGCAAATCGTGGATATGGCGTTGTGAATCGGGGGTCATGGGTTAATATTGTGATCGGCTATGCATACATTAGCCCTTTCTAAACTTTGTAGTTGATAAAAGGGGTAGATACTTACCACGGTTCCCACGATGGATCCCTGACAAACGCAGTAGAACTATAAAGCACGGTTAGACTGTATTTGGTATGCATAAGAGTAGGAAATGGAAGGCCTCTCATACAGTCATCCACCATGCTCTTCTCCTGGCCTCGGCAAACGGGCTGTCGTCGTGCGTGATTGCATGTAATGAAAGATTCATTGCCATGATGTACGCCTGGCCCGCTCTATGCCGCATTTTGATCAGGTTCCCCCTTTGATTATATTCGTATATACTTAGAATCAGAAGGGCAAGGATACCTTCCAGGTCTGTTGGGGTGAGTGGGTGAACCATCAGCCTGCTAGGTATCGTTGAATTATGCGAGAGAGCCTCGGACGGACTAGTGATAGACTCTTGTAGGTCTGACTCTGCTTCAATACTTGCAACGGCTTCTCGGGCAAAAGCATGCGCATAGGCTCTTCGAAGTAATACTGATTCGGGCGCAAATGAGTTTGGATCCCGGGGGTGGGGGATCAACGCTAGTACCGCTGATATGGCCAGAGTAACGGGAGATTTGGGCTTGTATGGAAGGACAGGGTCTGAGGTAGTGGTAGTTGGAGCTTTGACTGGTGTGTTTAAGGGCCGGTCAACAGCTATTGGTGTGTGTGGTGGGGGGAAAATCGGGAAATAGTAGTGGATATAGATGTAATAAGCATTCAATCTGTGTTACTTATTAGTTCAAGTGTATGCGCACTAGGTATAATGATACTTAAGATGAAAAGGTGCAAAATGTATTAACAAGGATAATTTACTCACATATCTTGTTCACTCCCGTATAGCCGTACCCGTGGCGGCTCAGGGGGAGGTATGGCTGGAGCGTGAGCAGTCGTTGAATGAACCGGAACTTGTTGCTGGGCATTTGGATGGCAGGGCAACACAATAGTAGTAAGGCCACTTGGGGCATCCGGAGGATAAGCATGATGCCATCCTCAGCATATATTCCGTAGCTACCGGAAAACAGCCTATTGTCAGAAGATGAACAACTAAGGGCAAGGTATATTCTCCGCACCGACAGCGTCAATCACGATGCCTCGAGTTATTATCGCCATTTGCCCCAGCGGGGTTTCCCTGATCCTGGTCCTTATCAGCGCAATTTTAAACTCACGAGTCGCTCTCTTGCGAGGTGGAACGACTTTCTCCGCATCCTGCACCCTGGACGGCGCATGC